ATATATATATATATATATACATATATATATATATACATATATATATATATAAATATAGATATATATATCGTATTAATTACCAGACCTACATTTTGAAGTTTCATCACTTTGGGGTGACAGCAATAACCATGTCAAGTATCCACCCAAAACAACTCTGAGTTGAGACATAACAGAAGTACCCACAAAATGTCAGTCGTGGGGTCTAAAAGTTTCTTTTAAATCACACAGTGATGTGAGTCATGTCTGGTTGCTATTTTTGGGCCTTTTCAAGGTTATAATACTGGGAAGATCCTTGAGAGGGGTTGTTTGATGCTTTGTTCAATTGGAAGCATAGTAGTGTTTAAATGTGGGTGGACCAGCAAATTCAAAGCTTAACAGATGTGTTAAATCCTGCGTTTTGTCCGCCCAGACCAGGGGAATTTGCCTCAAGTATGAGGAAGAGTAGACTTACAGCAGATAGAAAATACATTGTTGATCCATCATTTGAACCTGCTGTTTTTACAGTTAATGACTGACAGCCAAAAACAGACAGTTACTTCCATTTGCAGGCAGTAAATGATCCTGAGGCAGTTCAAATGTTTACTTCCGCTATGAGGACATACGTGAATGGACCTTGAGACAACATTCATCTAACCTCAAAGTACCATATAAACAAAAGATATACAAACACACGTTACCATCAAAAGAGTTTGATCTGAGTGTGAGGAGCTGCTCTGCGTTTTGCAGCTCTGTGAGGAGGGTGTGGACCCACTTGTTTGTTCGGATGTTTTCCATTTGCTTTGGAATGTTCTCAGAGCTGTTGGTTAGAAATGATCTGAGACTCTGAGCTGAACCCACACTGCACATCCTCCCACACACTAACTACATCGCATTTGAGTTTCCATATTCATCAAAATCCAAGACTTTTGAACATTTTTAAAGGCTGAGGCAGGGGTTTTCAAAGTCTGATATGGTGCAACTGGGATTTTATTGTAGCTACTTTAATTGCCTCCATGATCTGTTTCACAGCCAACTACTGACTTTGTTATCAAGTACAGAAAATACAATAACTAGTTAACTTCCTGTGGTCCTCAGACTAGCAGAAGCATCCGGTCCCACCCCTTACACAGTATCTTTGCCTCACGTCTCTCCCGCCTCAGATTGGCCACCCCTGCGCTAAGGTCTAGAAGTTTGACTGTTTTCAAAAGCTCATATGACAGATAGGCATCAGCCCAAGAAATGGTCGATTAGATTTTGGTGACGATCTGGGATTTCCTGGTAGGAAAGTCCCACAGTCCTGGGTTTTCAAAGTGTTTTGACTGCACACAATATTGATATGCATGAAGATCTGACAGTATGAATGTGTTCAGGAAAACACCCTGACACTGTTTGCAATATCTGATTTCCTTAGCAGTTGTGGCCATTTATGTTGTCATAATATTTATGTTATCAGCGTGTTGGCGTGTACTGCTGCTGACTACATGCTGACTTTTTAAATTGTATTTGACCAGGATGTATTGGCAGCAATGCAATATAATATTCACATTCATTTGTGTATAATCACCCGCAGAAAAGAATCATGTTTACGTTATCTTAGAATGAGCCGTTTATATCTAGAGTGAGCAGGTCCTCTTCTACAGCATCTGCTATGTTGAACCACCACATTTCTACAGTAGCCCAGAACGGACAAAAGCTCTGTCCGTGTTACAAAGTGATTCGCTATATCTCCAGTCTATTTCACTGGTCGTTTCAGGTTAACAGTGTCCTTGAAGTTGGGGGACGTACATTTGTAAGCAGCCATTTTCATCGCGGCTCAAGCAACAACTTTGTATTTAGAAATCCCCAGATGATTGATAGACGCTGATCTTGGATCGTCTGGTGCCACGAGACGAGTGGTGAATGGCTAAAGCAGGCTCTTAGGCAAACTATCAAACAAAAGCATCAGTGCCTTGTGGTAATGTGGCAAGTATCCAACCAAGCTATTCTGTATGTAGAAAAATAGACTTGCAGATGCAGTACCTGATGAATTTTAGACTCAATTACCTCTCAATGTATAGATATGGTTTCCAATGCAGTCCTTGCCTGCTTTGTTGAAATGTTCTGCCACTTTTACTTTGAAAGTTGAAGACAAAGAATGTATAATTATTTTATGAACTTGGTTGTTGTACCACTTTGCAAAAAACCTGAACCTGAAACCTGAAATGAACATTAGAGGCTGGCTATTCTCAAAGCAACTTAAGGACATCATTTGGTTTATTCAATTCAAGTGTAAGAGAAAAACAGTCAAAACTGAAAGCCAATGTTTTCCCAGTAAGTGCAAACAATGAGTAAATTCAGTTGCATCTGTGGGAAACATTGTTTTGTTACAAAAATACCACTTTAAGATAAGGGGACTCCATTCATGTGGGGAACCCCCCTAAAAAAAGAAAGAAAAACACAGCCTGTTTTGATCCTCGACTCACTTCAATAAACCAGCCTTGACCAAAAGGATGCAACCCTGGCAACAAAACAACATCCGTGTCGCACATAATGAGCAAATACAGGAAAACAAAAAATACAGTGCAGTTCTTTTAGTGATTTAATGAGAAGCAATACCTCAGGTGGTCTTTGTAAAAAAAAAAAAAAGAAAAATCAGAAAACAATAAAGGCAGTTGACCTCTTGATTACTGCAAGGACTCAGCCTCAAGAGGAAATATCAAGACACAGAAGAAACCACAGTATTCATGAAGCGTGCAGGTACTTTATTGTCTTGTCTTTGTCCTCTCGTCCTCACAACACAGTGGTCTGAACTTAGGACAGCCCTCAGTCAGGGTGGACACTGGTGTGACTACAGCCAAACCATTTTCACTTTGCACTTACCAGTCCTTCCCTGTTTGGCAGTAAACAAAATTGTCTGCCACATGACTTTTGAGCAAGTAAGTCCCGATTCTGGATTTGTTATACCACAAAAATGGCATATGTACTGCATAGTTACTGCAGCCAAACTGTCTTTATAGTGTAAAAAAAACAACCTAAATAGAAATATTATATTACAAAACTCTAATTCCATTTACTAGTGACTGAGAAGGAAACAAAGTTTGTATTTTCCAAACACTTCTTCTCAGAGGCAGAGCAGCCATGCCGCAGTACGACATGAGACCTCTTATAGTCACATTTGGTCCCTCTTGCCGCACACACCCGCAGGTGTTACAGGTAGTGATCAGTTATCTGTCCTACCTGTGCTCGCAGTGGGAAACGTAAGGCTATGGACTGCATCTCTGAGAGTGTACTAGCCAGTTGACTAGTACTGAGCATCAGGATCAAAAGGCTTGCTGAGGGAAGCCATGCAGTGTCTGTGGTCCCGATGCGGAGCCCAGCAGGACGGGTACCAGCCTCAGCAGGTCTCTGAGAGGGATGCCCAGCTGGGTGCTGCGCGACAATAAATCCCCAAATGAGCTGCAGCCTGCAGTGAGAGAGAGGAGAGCTTCAGACGAACATCACTGTCAGAAAAATCATTTGGATGTCTGGATGGGAGTTGGCTAAAGAAGACTAAGTTATGTTGTTTGATGAAAGTAAGTATTACCAGCAAAAGTATGAAACATACAAGCACTTGTTTCATAGTAAAATGTCCCCTGTAAGTGATATATTATTATATATGTTATTATTAGATTGTTAAAACCGATGATACATGATAAATCTGAGGGGTCATGGGATGATGAATGGCATTAATTCATTTTTGGGACTTCTCTATTATCTTTGCTTTTTTTGTGAAATATTAAATAATTTGACCTCTTTGAGCCTCACATAGTTTTTCAAAAATGAGACAATGTCTCTTTGCTGGAACTGTTAACAACTCAAAAATCAGAAACCTGTGACAAATAGCCACTGCTACACACTGCCTTTTTGTAACAAGCAAAAGCATGTTAGGAACAACTGGTTTAATCTTCAGTAATGCATGACATTTTAGTCATCAAGCTAAACATGCTTTTAATATAAAATCGTATTCTGAAAAGCTAGTAGTAGTTATAGCATATCCTATCAAATGTAGTGAAGTATAAAGTACAATATTTCTCTCTGAAATATAAAGTGGCTCAAAATTGCACCTAAATGCAATTTTTATGTACTTAGTTACTTTCCCCCACGGAGTAAGTCTACCGCAGAGATATTTTAAAGCTGCACAAGGGAGTTTGTGTATGACCAGTATGCTGAGTGTTTGAGTGTACGCAGGTGAAGTTTTCCAGTTTAGTGAGAACATGTGTTTGTCTTACCCTCCAGCTGTGTGTGTGTGTTCCTGAGGCAGGGGATGGAGCGGTACACCAGAAAGCAGGCCAACACCATAGACTGGGCGTCCTTAGGGAGGGCTTCACCCCTCATGTAGGACCTCAACACTGAGCTGTTATCTAGGAGAGAAAATGTACACAATGCATATGAGTATTTTAATTTAGGGTTTTACTTTGTGTAACAGGTCTAGAATAAATGCATTCCTTTCATCACACAATTTCAAGACAAATGACCAGTATACTGAACGAATTATAAACAAAATTCAGGAAACAAAGCTGGCCAGCTTGTTTTTGATTAAATAACAGACAGACAGACAGACAGACAGGATACTGCTGACAGACTGTAAGATGCAGAAACATTTGATCAAACGTGTTTACCGCTATATAAACAGCCACAAGTGTTTATCTTAATCAAAAGCCTTGTTGATATGAGGAACAATGTGCCTCATGAAAGAACCAAAGTTGGAGCTCGGAACGACATCACACTCAAGAAGAATGTTTTCATTAGTGTATAATCACCTTTTCATTACCTTAGAATGAGCCGTTTTCATCCACAGCCATGTGGATGTTTCTGAAGTAGCCCAGAACAGACAAACCAAACACTGGCTTCAGATACAGTCTTCAGTCTCATGGTTTTTTCTTTTTATGTTTCGCAACTTTAATTTTTCATCGTACTTTGTTGAGTCAAGAGGTTTCAGTTAGTTGCAATCTGCAGTT